AGAGTGTTTGTGCGTGGCGAGTGGGGGGGGGGGGGGGGGGGCGAGTTTATTCTATTGTTTTTAAAATTCATTAAAAATGTAATTGAATGTTAACGTAATTTATACTCTTCTATCGCCAGCTTCATTGAAATTAAAATATTTCGACATCGAATAAAGTAATTCGTAAATTATTAATATTTTAAAATTCACAAAATGAATAACTCGAAGATATTAATAGTTGGAAGCGGTTTTTTTATGATGTGATATCTGGCTCTGTTAAATACTTATCAATTATAGATTCGAAATGTAATGCTTAGCTTTAGATTTCATTTTTTTTTTTTTTTTTTGGGTTTTCATTACATTACGAACTTTGATACTTATCATATTATCATAAAATTAAGTGCAGATATAATAATGTAATTTATTGAAAAATACAAATAAACTTGAATTTGATTTATATTCATTTCGACATTCGCCTATTCAACTTTTCCACAATCGCTAGTTAAGAAGCAAATGGCTAATAAATTACAGAGAATACTCACTGCCGATATAATAAAGGAACTTTAAGAATTATCTAATGTAAATAAATATCGATTTACTTTTAAGAATATATTATAAAATTTAGCACTTAAACGTCTCTGAAGGAATATGGCAATCGATCGTGAAACAAGCTTTTTCGTGTATTTTACGACGTAAATCCCTCGGATCCTCGCCAGTCGTCTCGACTAAAGAAAAAAAAAATTAAAAAATAATTTCGAATATTAGTTAAAAAAAAAAAAAAAATGCAATAAAGTATGACTTCATTTCTGCATATTATCGGCAAATTAATTGACTCGGTAAACCGCATGAACAAATTTGTAAAAATAACGCTAGAAATATAAACATTTTTTATAAAATAAAAAGAAATAACAATTCCGCAAGACGTCAGCTGACGTATTTAATTCTGCGGTATAAAGACCAACCGCTATAACATTTGGCTTTCTCATTACATGTCAGAGAAATGAATTGCAAGGTAACAAAGAAATTAGAAACATCAAGTAAATATGCTAGGTAGAAAATGGCGAAAGAAACTTCATTTTAAAAACAATTATAAGATACGTGCCACAGTGAATAGAATGAATGTAGAATAAACGACATAATAATTGATCTACCATCATTTTACACCGAAATAATGCTTCGAACAATTGCGCTGTCAGCGAGAATGCCTGGAGCAGCCTCCGAAGAAAGCTTCTCGAGTCTGAGGAATGGTTCATATTGTATTAAAAGGTTCGAGTTTATTGGCTGAAGGAGCTCAACGTCAATGATATCATGGAGTCTCATTCGAACAAGTGCCAATAGAATAGAGTCTCATTCGAACAAGTGCCAATAGAATAAAAAAAAAAAAAAAAAAAAAAAAAAAAAAAAAAAATTTTTAAAGCTAGTAAATATCGACTCGCTCGTTGTGCGTAAAAGAAAAAAAAAACAAATAATGATGAATCCGACGTATGGAGGTAATCCTATTATTAATATTCCGAAAGACGAGTTTCTTAACAGCCAGTGTTTACCGTCGATATTACTACAGTCACGTAGAAAATAATTAAACATTTGTTATTTTCCATACATTAATGTACGCGATAAAGATTTTAATCTCCATTTAAGAAAAATGTTCTTTATCTACATTTCAGGAATGGAAATTATTGTTTTGCTTTGTCGACTGTGCTCTTATGTCTCTATTCCGCAGTGAATCCGTGACTTTGACTCATTTTTTATTGGCATTTGCAATGATATATATTCTATTCACAGGGATTTCGATTAATTTATTCGAAAGCGTGAGCGTTTGAATCCTATATCCTCAGCTGTTACATGTACTTCAACGAATTCTATTTATTTTGTTTTTCAATTGCATTCAAAATTAGTTATATATAGCCAATGTTGGTAAATATCACGCAAAAATATGATAATGCGAAACGATGAGAATTTGGTGATAGCACGTAAGTAATAAAGTGATAACAAATATAATGATTAAGCAATGAAACAATACGATAGACTAATGTGCAATAATCCGTATTCAGCGAGTTTTTAATTTATGTATAAATATATTAGTAGTTATGCACAATTGCTTATATAAACTTTTATTATATGAGATTTTTTTATTTCCAGAATGCAGTCTATGTATTCTTTTATATAATACAGTGTAATCGTAGCTGTTTGATCTTCGTTTTGCAATAAAAATGTATTGTACATAAAATCCTAATCTTACTTAACTGATATAATTCTATTTATAACTTTAGAATAAATATTTTTTAAAAGAAATAACTTTTTCAGACATTTTTCTATACAAGATAAAAGTTACTGTTTAATTGAAAATTAATCTCACTATTTGTTAGTACACTTCATTACATACAATAATATGAACAAGACAAGAAAGAAGTAAGACGAGACAAAAATCTGCTCTTCTAAAATGAATTATTAAAATGACAAGATTTATTACTTCTATATAGAACTAAAATGATATATGTAAATTGATATATTTATATCTTGCATTTGCCAAATTTAGTATATTTCTTAGATAATGCATAAAATGGATAAAAATGAAGAAATTTGTGCAAAATGATCATTTTGCTGAAATAAAGGCAGACATTATATTACAGAAGATAAGCATAATCTTTTTAATTTAATAATAAAACATCCAGATAAGAGTTGGAATCTTCTCCTATCGAATTTTCTCCTACTCCCATGATTCATTAAAATTATGAAATTATGTAAAACCCATTAAGTCAGATAAAACTTTGTAGATGATTTTATATTTTCTTCTTATTTTTATGTTTCGTAATGAAGCTAAGTTTGCAAAATAAACAACTTTATGTAAGCTTATTCGATATGCGATGGTTACAATCATTGTTAATAATTTGTCCGAGTATATAGACATGGAATATTTAAAAATTATCTTTCGTTTTTTTTTTTTTTTGTTTTTTTTTTGAAATATTTATTAACATTTATTTTCTTCTTTAAAGCAAGAATCATTCATGCGCTCACTTTATATCAAATATATAATAACGATAGTTTAAAAAATAATTTCAGATCTTGAATTTATAATAAATAATTTTAAAAATATTTATATAATAATAATAAATAGCGATTTTAAACGACTGCTGATTAATTAATTGCACGTGTAATAAATTCCGTTTATAAAGGGGCTTTTATTTTGACATTAAAGAATCTCATGAAATACATTAGGCTTTCAAATTAGAAAAATATCAAATGAATTTATGATCAGACAAAGATCTTTTCTAATACAATTTACTTTCCATTAAACAATATAGAATCTTAGCTCGACGCGCTTAAAATTATTCGCTCGAATAATCTTAGTATATGCATACTAAATTATTACCACTACTTCAACCAATAAGTAGAAATTTTATTAAAGTATTGAATTAAATTTTTCAAAGCGTATCTACATATTCGCATCTCGCTTGTTTTTTTATAATGGCGTTGTTAGAAAAAGCAAGACCCTTCGATAGACACGACAGTACTTTGTAATATTGAACTCCACTAAAGTCAATAACAATTTTATTTCAATGAAAATGCAGTTCATGTGATATCAACTATTAGTTATTCAAATGGTAATGTCGGTTGCAAATGTCAAAAGCCTAAGAACAATTAAAGATAATCGCGCGTAACTTCTCTCTGCCCAGCTATTGAATCTCAAGGATATTTTATCTACAATTAGTCAGATAGAAGCCTGTCTAAGGAAAAGAGACTTTTTATTTAATTTTGCATTCAACGTTACGTTACTTTTATATAAATCAAATCAGTTGTAAATTAAATGAGATTTACGAATGAAAAACAAAGCCTTTTCATGAAGAATATAAAAGTCGTAAAATTATTACTTTTACTAATAGTTTTCTTATACTTATAGGCATAAACGTAGCTTATAAAAGTTACAACAATAGTAGAAATTCGGTAATAATCGTAACTTTAAAGAGGACATAAAGATATTGTAACATGACTAAACGGAATATAATATGCTTTTATGAACATTTTCTTATATTAATTTTATTTTATTCTTTTTTTTTTTCCTTTTTACAACGGCCTTTCTTTTTCAGTTTAAAAAGGAAAATTCTATCTGTACACTTATTTTCTTAAAACCAAATTTTATCGGAAGAATAAATCGACATAAGTACAAGGCGCTGATATCCACAAATACAATAACAACAAATCGAACAACACGTCATTTTAATATTGTGATTAATGCAACTACTTTGTTAAAAATTACTATTAAATGGAGAGATTTACGTGCTAGAATCCATAGTAGCCGCCACTTAGTATATAGAATATATTCAGTACTCTTCTTAGTACTCAAGTATTTTATATACGTAAGACTGGAATTTAATGTACCGTATCAAGTATTATCTGGAAATAACAATTGTAGATTTGACATTAAACTATTAGGGTCGTTTAAATTAATCTTGATCAATATCAAGTTTAAATTTACAATGAATTGAAACTTGGAATAATATTTCATTCGGAATGTATCGTTTACTACTTCTTTTTTTTTTTTAAGTGCATGTGTTTCCTTACATTCTCAGTGCACGGTTTTTTTATATTATAAACGATCGAGATCGATAGGTTGTTAAATGAAATATTATAATACATACACTTTTATTATAATAAAATGTCAAAAGCGCAACAATACGTAAGGAAGCCAATTTTCATAACTGCAAGTGATAATTATAATTTTAAAGAAACTTACTCCCGTAAAATAGAATAATCTTAAAATTAAAAATTATTCATGAATTTAAATATTCAAATAATATTAAGATATTCGAATAACTATTAATATAAAAATAAAAATTAATCTGTTAAAAGTAAAAATCAGTCTACCGCCATCGTCAATGTCTTTAATGAGTTTGGCCTAATTACGACTCATTCAATGTCTTGATAATGATAAAATATTAGTTGCACAGTCGTAATTTATAAAACACAGATTACATAAAAAATATAACTTTCTTCGGCAGTACAAAAGTTTTCAAGGTTTTAATCTAATCGAATTTCGAAACATGTTTTAAAAGATTCACGATTCGATAAATATAATTAATGATAATATAAATATTATTAAAATAAATTAACATAGACGTGAGTTTATAATTTGCTGCTATTCTACGTCCTCTCGTTCATTTAAATTTTACTATTTTTAATTTTCATTGGCGACAAAGAAGCCCAATCAATTTTTTTTTTTTTTTTTTTTTTTTTATTTTTTTATAAATTGTCGGTCTGTTTCCTTTCGAATCGTCTCAGAATCGCAAAGCGAAACTTGTTAATTATTCAACTTTTCAACATCGAGGAGACGTGTGGCACTAATTTTCCAACAATAACTTTCATAATTGTAACTTACATAATGCGAATAAGAATAAGATTGTAATAGCAATTCGATAAATACGAATATAAAAGAAATTCTTCGAATCAATCTAAAAATGTAGTACAATTGTCAATTTAGAAACATGTATCGATAACTTTGTATATATTTTATACGCAATTTACCAATCGTGCATATCAAAATAATATTATAACATATTTAGCAATTCTTAACTTCAATATTTTATGAATTTAAGATGTAGCCTGCATTATTTTGCAATATATCGAACAACTTGAAATTTATGATAATACGAAATTTACAAATTTACAAATTTACACCCCAATTGAGCTGATTTACAATTTTTTTTCTCAATTTTGAAGCAAAACGTAGTCAATGTTAATATACTTTGCCGATAAAACAGATTTCTCATGTTTTGCCTACTCGACTTGTCAACTTGGATGCAAAGTTGTTTATTTTAAAATGTTGCTATAATTTTAAAACATCATATGTACAATACCATAAGTGGTATTATACAGTTATTAGCTGAAACATTGTATGAACTACAATAACGTTGCACTTCTTTTAATAAAACTGCTCGATGAGTCATAATTTAAGCTACATAACCTGTAAACGAAGTTATAGACCAACAAACTATTAAAAATGAATATTTTACCAAAAAAAAGGTACGAATGTTTATTTCTTACAATTTAAAATTATACAATTAGTAATTTTACATTGAAAGCATTTTGAAAACTTAAAAATTTACACGAACAATCTGTATGATTTTCCTTCTATTTTAGATGGCACGTCCGTACAAAAGAAAATATTGCTAGAGTTCGACGGGATGAAGCTCAAGCTGCTGAAGAAGCTAAAATTGAACAAGCTCGTATTGATAAAGCTGTATGTAAAAATATATTTAACATATAGTTAGAGGTATATTTTATACACTATTACGTTTGGTAGTTATATTTTATTTTATTTTAGGAAAGCGAAGCAAGATTAAATTTATTAAGAACTGAATCGAGGAGAAGGAATAATATTAGTCCCTTAACCGTGAATGATAAGCAAATTTCAAGTACATCAGCAAATTCTTCAAAGCATATTAATTTCTTTGAAGAAATAGAACAAGGTAATATTGATTATAGTAAATCAAATAAAGATTATGAAAAGGGTAAAAAAGAAGAGCAAGAGAAGTATGAGAAACAAATTGGATATTTAACTTATCTTGGTCAAGGACTTAAGGAGGCTGTTAATAATAGCTGGTATAACGAATTACCTAAGCGTTTAAGCGATACAAATAAAAATATTGAAGTTAAGCCAAATAAAAAAGTTCTGGAGGATCCAATGCAGGATATCAAACGATATTTACACATTATGTCTGTGAATCAAAGTAATAGTAAATCTGAAAAAAAGCATGAATCTAGAAATGAAAAATTTCCTACTAAATATAGTAGTTACGATACTACTAAGAAACAAAAACGTAAATTATCATCTAGTGATGAAAGTGATGATAATCATAGATCCCATAAGAAACATAAAAAGCATAAAAAACATAAAAAATCTAAAAAGCATAAGCGAGATAAAGAGAAGCAAACTGTTAAATCTAATATAAATATTGAAAAATTAAGAGAAGAAAGATTACAAAGGGAACAGAAGGAAAGGTTGAGAGCACAAGCACTATTAGAAGAAGTGAAAGGTAATCGCCAGGATGAAACAAATGCAAATTTAGTATTTCGTCAAAAGTATAATTCTCAATTTTTCCCAGAACTTGCTCGACAAAATTGTGAAAAGAATTATAAATAGCCATTAGTCGAATGCTTTTTATTTACTTAATAGCAAAGACAACATTTATATATAAAAATATTATATAAAATTAACATAAGCATTAAAAAAAATTGTTTTTCATTGCAAATAAATATTAAAGTATATAAACCAATTGTTATGTATGTATAACTTTATGTAGGAAAAATCATTTTTTAGATTTGTACAATTATAAGGAAGTAAGGCAATATGTTAAAGAAAATATCTGTTTAATAATAATTATTAAAATATTAAGCAATAATAATTGTACAAATACAAATAATACTTATCTTTAAAACAAAAATAATATATTTTGATATTATGTATTATTTATATTTTTAATTTATTGTATATATATATATATATAGTTAATAGGCAATAGTTTTCCAAGATTTTAAAATTTACTATAATTTCTATCAATTATATTTTTTTATTTTCATTTTCCATTCGGCATAAAAAATCTAACAGCCAGATTATTTAAATAACAGTATGTACTACATGTAAGCCTATTTCTTTCAATTAATTTTTAATAATGTTATTTATTTACTATTTAATAAGATCGGGTTTTCGCTCAAAATACTACTTCAGTATTGAAAATCATAATATTCTTTTATGTCAATAAAAATTTATATTAAATTTATTTCTAATATCTATTATTTTTATAATAAATACGTTAATATACAATTATATATTACGTTAATATACAACTCGATTGATTATATATTGTTAAATAAAATACTTATTAATTAATGATCACTATTTTAATTTTTTTTTTGTTTTTCTTTTGTGTTTGTTTATTAATTTTAAATATTTAAAAAATTTTTATCTCGTATTTCCATTTTTTTCCATTATTAGAGAAAAATTTCTATCCAAATTGGAGAAATTGTCATTGAATGTTATAAAGAAATATATACCTAAAAAATAATAAAGTAATAATTCATTGAGATTTAAGTTATATAAAATATTTATATCAAACTTTAAGTTTATGATCTTTATATAAGTATAATACTAACATCTACAAAATCTTACAATTACCTACTTTTATATTAATAAAAAGCTAATTTTATAATTATACATATATTAAATATTGATAATATTTTAAAGTTGTAGTGTAAAAATATGCAAATTAATAATAACAAATAACAGTTTATTCTTAAATATATTTACATAATGTAATTATTTAGCATTTATGATATAAATGGATATCTTTACTCACTCTCTCTCTCTCTCACTCTCTCTCTCTCTCACTCTCTCTCTCTCTCTCTCTCTCTCTCTCTCATTCTCTTTAACAATTCATACAAGTGACACCAGAATTGTTAAGTTGCGCGCGAAAATCTCGTTCTCGAATTTAGGTCGAAACAGCGCGAATCGTTTAATTGGTTAACCAAAGCTTCGTTAAGGCATCGCTGCATGTAATAAAGCCATGTAATAAAGATAGAGGATAGGTGGATGGACTATTATTAATTCATTTGATGTATGTTTGAAGTTTGAAGGAAATGATTATAGACTAACGAAATACAAAATTTCGTTAAAAATTTTTAGTAAAATTTCAAACATATATTTCACATCAAATGCATTTATTCGTCATAGCAAATCCTTGGCTGCAAAAAACCTAAAATGGAGTTTACACTATTTAATAGCAAAGGAGGATTAGACTAGTCCGCCCAAATATTTGATATAAATAAGATTCAATCGTTCTCAATAATAAATTTTCGCAACCTTACGTCACTAGTAAAATGATGCTCGTGGATTAACAATCAGACGACGTATTTTCATATTTTTTAATCCCGATGTTATATTATAAGCATTCCGCGTCAAAGAGATTCTAAATGTCTTTAGGTATTTGATATTAGTCGCTGATCAGTGGTATAAAATTTTCAAAGATCCCAATAACAAATAATTACCAATTCTTCTATTTATTACAAAAGCGATAATTGAGGAGGAATTCTATAGAAAAAAATAATTCAATTAAATTTGTCGAAAATAAATATTCTTTATTAATAATGTAAAAATAATTAAATTGAATTATGTAAAGTAAAAGGAATATATGACATAAGACATTTAATTAATTTACTGTATTAAATCCTGCTATATACGTTGAAAAATTAATTTTAAGGCTCTAAGAGAGTTATTTCTCTTATAATGAGAGCTGACTCTAAAATGAGACAGAAATTGAACAAAATTCTGCCCTTTTCTGGGTTATAAAGCAAGGCAGTGAACTCTCGCTTATGTTGACTTTTTAGTCGCTAGCTCATTGCCAGGAAACTCAAGGAACTCGTTAAATGTATAGGTAAGTATATGCATTTATCACGAAACTAATTGACGGCTTAACATATTCATAATGTAGCACATAAAGCTAAAAGGATAAACAATTTTCTTCTTTCCAACGTAATGGAATATTATATGTAAACTTCTATTTCTATTAATCGCGAGTTTGATAACTTTCAGTTTGAATTAAATTATTAATTATTAAAATAAAAGAATAGAATTAAACTGATATTCTCTTGTTAATAATCGCTGTTACGAAATTGAAATTCAAACTTAAATGAAAGTTTATTGTTAAAGAAAAAAAATTACCATAACGATATTGAATCACGTAAGAAAGAAAGTTAATAGTTTTTGAAAGAAACAAAAATTAATTATTAGTATGGTAAATAGAATAAATAATGGCGTCTTTTACTTAATTAGACAATACAACCGACATTCTCATGGCCATTATAACGATTCTACGAATTCTTCAAATATAATTTCAATTAATGTTACCTTGATAGAAGACAGAACCGATAATTAAGGAAAGTAGTCGTACAATAGTATTGCGATTGAATAAATTTCTTCTAAAAGCCAATATAGAAAAAAACATTTTTTACTTGATAATTAAAAATCAGACTTTAATAGAGGATTTCATTAAAGATTTTTATACATATACAATTATATGAATTTTTTATCAACTGCAATTAAATCTTGTCAATATATTTTTAAAGCTGAAAATAAAATAGACCATTATTTTTCATTTTACTTAAACACAGTGAAAAGTAACTGTTATGAAAATAATAATTACTGCGACTTGAATTATGCGCGATTACGTTGCTTTCTAAACTAATATAGAGGAACTTTCAATTCATAAAATATAAAATTATGTAAGATATTGCATTCTGATATATCAATAATTTTAAATAAATAACAACATTAGTTTTTATTACAATCATTTTCAACTAAAGGAATATCAGAAATTCAATTAAATGCAAAAGTTGGAATGTGATAAATTTCTACTTTTAATAAGTTTGCTATAATATATATCTTGGGAGCAAATATTTTTAAAATTATTCATATCAAAGCTCTCACCAAATTAGAATATCTTTACGTGACAAAAATGAAATTAAGATTGTGTTTTTAAATTTTGCTTCATTTTATATAATGTTTTTCTAATTTGATCTCATTGTCTCAATTAATTCTTATATTAAAACAAGAATATATAACAATAATATTACGTTAATTAAGCCGTTTATTTGTTATTCAATATATATATATATATATATATTGCTTTATATAACAAAGCATCATTAATCTTTTAACTATTTATTGTATAGAGTTTCATATATTTTATCATATGTACTTTTTCAATTAAAATTGAAAATGTTTTAAATTCTTGACCATTAACATAGTTTTGAACTAATTCAATGTTTTAATTTATATATATATATATATATATATAGGTAGAGCCGAGGAAATGTTTATGGGATCAGAATTTTTGGGGGAAAAAAAAAAAAAAAAAAAAAAAAAAAAAAAAAACATTAACATAAATTATAAACATATAGTAAATATTCTTTCAATTACGCAGTGGATTTTATAATTAGAACAATTATTTCTATGACTGATAACCTACCATTCATTTATTCGAAATCCGCATACGAAATATCAATACCATTTCAAAATAAATACATACATTGTTACGTACATGGTTGAAAAATATACAACAAATCAATAAGATATTAAATACTATAAATTATATACAAATGAAATATTATGACGTATGACGATATTGCGGTAGAAATAGAACTAATTTTAAAAATATAACGATGATTTTCATTCAGCTACACAATATACGCAAAGGCACTTACTCTGCCCATCAATCCAAAATTTCTGTCAAGGGAAGTGACGCTGCCCCCTACGCCCCGCTGCCACACCCGTTATCATAATACACATGTTGGATCTTTGGACCCCCCCCCACACACACACACACAGACAAACACTTGTGCGCATTTAATCGCTCCATCTTTCTCACTCGCTCATATTGCCACCTCTGCCTCTCATAGCGTCATTAGCAACATTAACTTAACAATGTAAATGATGATTTTTTTTTTTTTTTTTTTTTTTTTTTTTTTTTTTTCAACTGTACAATTCACCGGATTATTATTAAGATTTATGGATCAATTAATTTTATTAATTAAATAATATCGTTCAATAGGGGCGTAATGTTGTTTTACAAACAGATAGAGATATACAGATAGATTTGTCTCTAAATTGTAATACAAAATTTGAAATTCTTAGTAAAGCTCGTAAAACTTAATATTCCAAGTTTCATGTTCCAGGCGTATAAAAGAGACCAGACCATCTCGCATTGGCAAAGTGTCGTCAGCCTTATCGAAGAAAATATGCAATATTGTACAATTCAATTTACCTGCAATACTTAATTGCCGCACGCAATAAAGAGATCGGAATAATTTTCATTCGTCGATTAAATTTGCAATGCGAATGTGAAATTTGCATATTCGTTCAAATTAATTATTCATTCGCAAAGTAAACGCTTAAATTAATTGCTTCTCATCCCCCGGATTATTCGCACATTACTACGGCTTACGCATCGAAGCTTAAACCATTCAAATAATAAATTAAGTATAAAAATTATTCCAATAATTTGTAAATTTACAGTGACAGACTTAAAAATCTACCTATAAATTGTTATTTTGGCAATCGATCTCCACTTTCGTCAAGGCAAATGAGTCATTCGTGTACACCACGCCTCGTCCTTTTCTGCAAGATATATCAATTATAAGCTCTACTACCGTCCTTTAACGACACTAATGTTAATTTCTATGAAAATAGTTAATTCGTAAATTAGCCTTATTGGGATTGTGGTTTAATGCGGTATGAGACGTCGTTGGAATGGCATTATGAAAAGCAATTATCATTCGTGCTTAACAGTAAGTAAAACGACAAGATCATCTTATCTTCCTTAGCCTGCGTAAGCCTCATTACTCGTCGAGAATAATCAATAATTTTTCATCGCCGAATCCCTGCTGTTCTAATTGCATTTTGAATTTTCATTAGCCCGGTGTATTTATCGCCGTCATCGAGGA